GGGGGGGGGGGGGGGGGGGGCAGGGTTTCCCGCATGGAGGAGAGTTGCAAGCCCGCACCTCGCTGATTAATGCAGCGTGCGATTAAAGCCCGCCGTGAAAATCGCAGTGAGCTGCGTGGGACGAACCTGCTATGTCGAGACTTGGGTTCCCGCTGAATGTCGAATGTCGACGAATAAAGGGGAGACCGAGGCGGGATTACACAATTTTCAGAATTTCAGTGTCCAAACTTTTCGCACGACTAGGGGAGATCGGGTCGGCTTCGCGAACTGTTCAGAATTTCGTCGGAACTTTTCAGACAAATAATTATGATTGCCTGAATAAAACTGACAGAGATATTTCTTTGTGTTTCTCTATTCGAGTATCGATCTTTTAAACTGTATTTTTTTGTAATAAAGTATATTTTTTTGGTAACAAATTATAAGTGTAAAAAAGATATCCGATTAAATTTAATCGGATACTTCCGATCATAATGACATTTCATCAGTTAAATCGTTCAACAAATTATGAACTGATATTTCTTATCGGATGCTTTCTGATCGGGTACAGAAATTTATCGGTATTTTGAATGGAAATATCCGTTTGTTAGTTTTTTATCATATAATTCTCTCAATGTGCTCGGCTTCTCTTCTTTCTGTTCCTAGAAGAATTAAATCTTTTTTCTAATTGCGATATTCTTCCGACTTTAATGAAACTTGGAAAAATACTTGTGTTCGAAAAAGAACATTTCGTGTTTTCTTTCCAGCTGCTTCTCTCACGACAGAAACATAAACGATATGTATTACCCCGATATGTATTACTCACCTCGGTCTTCTTTACACGCGGGCGCGATAAAACGCCGCGTCGTGTCGCTTTATCTCGTCCTCATGTGGAAATTCGAGGATTCCCGCCAGTCAAACTTCCGGGTGAGCCTCGACTGTAATCTCACGTCCGTGCGCCGATTAATAACAGTCGCATTCGCCCGCTCAACGGGGCCGATGAGAGAGCGATCGGTCGACGTGGTCGAACGTGCTCGAAGTTGGAAACAACGGGCGAGGTGAGCCAAGAGCGTGGCTCGCAACCCGTTATCTTTAACCCGAGAATTTTTCATAAAGTCGACCTACATACACGTCCGCCGCTCGGTGTCGTGTCGCCGGGTTGAGGCATTGATCTGTTCTTGATAACGCGAGCGGTGTATGCGGCCGCATGGAAAATGCAGGCTCGTTTGTCAGCCAGACCGAGAAATCGTCGTCGTCGTTAGCGGACAAAGAATAACCACGATGTATCCACGGTTTTCTTCTCTTTTTTTTACGCGCTCTCGTAGCAATTTTCTCTCTTTTCTCTTTTCCAGCCGCGGCCCGCGTCGCGCGAGGATGTCGGGATTAAAACATTGAGCGTGACATGATATATGTTGCCGTCCAGTTTTACTAAGGTGACCAGATTTCTTAATCCCAAACCCGCGATACTTCATATACGTGTGAAGCGCGCGAGAAGGGGGATTACTGAAAATTATATATACACACACGTGAAACAACACTTTATTAACAGACATGAGAAATAATGTAACAACAACCTACAGTATAGCCTGCATATAATAAAAGTACACTGAGAAAAAAATTTACTAAATTTCAAAAAACGTTTGTTTGAATAGTACTGTGAAGATATTTGTTTAAATTAATTATTTTCTAAAATTAAATAAAGAAATTTTGAATATAAATTTGTTTCTTTAATTTTAGAAAATAATTACTTAATTCAAACAAATATCTTCACAATATTATCCAAATAAACGTTTTTTGAAATTTAGCAAATTTTTTTCTCAGTGTAGAAATTATTGCTAAGATAAAACTGTTGTTATCTTTAGTTGAAACTGTGAAGAAGAAAGCTGCTGTATTTGCCAGAACTACGAATTTTTCTTGAGAAAGTCTTTCTTTGTCAGGATTTTAAAAATCCTCTAAACCGGGATAAACCGGACAGTTTAGTCAAGTCTGAAACAAATCAGTATTTCGGATAGTATTTGAGAAAATTAGAGAGTAAAAAAACCGTTACTGTCTAGTCACTTTAGTTTAACATGCATATCCTAAGATTCCTGGCTCCTTGCCGCGGCCATCGCGATTTTTGATGTCAGAAAAGCGAGGAGATGCATGCCCAGAATTCCTGCAAAGTACATCGAAGTGAAAAGATATATTCAAGAAATGGCATTTGCAGTTGGTTAAGCATTCCTTTAAAATATTACGAATGCTTGTTGTTGCTCTAACAATCAATAAATGATCGTAAAATTTATGTGACATGGTAATGAGGAAATATATATTAAAAAGATACGTTAATTTTACAGACATTTATTGATTGTTAGAATAAAAGGACAATGTTTGGAGTTCCAGAAGCGTGCTTGATCGATTGCAAGTATCATTTCTTGGACATATCTTCTTATTTTTTCCTTGCACTCGCAGGAATTTTAGGCATGCATTTCCTCGCTTCTGACATCATCAATCAAGAGTCCCTTGGCGAAGGATCAGAAGTCTTAAAAAAAAAGAAAGTAAAAGAGAAGAGAAGAAAAATACACACAAAGCTTTCCACACAGAGTCGCTCCGTGCTTTTATTGATTGTATTTTTGGGCTTTCAGGAGTGCAAGGTAATACGATTCCGGAAGTCGTCGCCGGGCGAGGTTTCACCGGATGGCGGCGAAGCACGCGTGCTGCGGGAGGTGGGGTTCGCCAAGAACGTGGTTTCCTGTTTCTTCGGGCCTTACATGTATATTCCCGAAATCGTCCGTTACGATGCAGCCGATATGGCAAAATTGTCCGACGCCATCCGCCATCGTCGACCAGGTAAATTTTCCCACGGGGCTGAACACAATCGAGATTGTGCCTCGCCTTATCGCCTCGCTGGTATAGTACCGTAATTTTCCGTAGGAATATTATGCGGAGAGACAATGTCGCGCGTTGTTGTTCAGATAAATTTCCAGCGGGATGAAAATTCGAGCGGAGATCTTCTCGAGATAAACGTCGTACTCTCTCTAAATTTCTTCGAGTGAAATTCCACCTGAAGAGTAAAGTGACAGCCGAGTCGCTCGAAGTCAAATGACTTTTTGAAAGAGAGAGAGTGTGTGAATTCTTCTCGGAGGTGTCGAGTGAATATTTTCACTCGAAATTGAAGCGTGAATCTGACGCTTGTTCCACCGTCACTGAAATGAATTCCCTCGAATCGACTGAAATATCCGCTCATATGGAATAATTATCTACTCTGAATTAAGCATACATTCTTATAAGAACATCTAATTTTTTTAAAGTACCCATTTCTCTTCGATTTGGAAAATATTTTCGAAATTTTTCTCTTTCGTTAAAATTTTAAGTTCTAAGTGAATTGTACAAATTTTTTATTCGAAAAATGAAGTGACAGTGGAATCACGCAAAATCGATTGAGTTTTCAATTATACAGTAATATAGAAAATTCAATTAGTGCGCTCCACGGTTACTGGAACAAATTCACTGTAATTGATTGAAATGTCTGAAATGACTTAAGATTAGAGGTAGATTACATTCACTTTGATCAAGGATTCATTTCAAGAGTTCGAATTAAGGAAGTAGGCCATCTTGAAAGGGACAATTGAAGGTGAATTTCAGAAGTGCTCATATTAAATATAAGTATAATTGACAGGATGATGATTAATTCAAACATATACCGAAATGATAGCTCAAATTGTGCACTGCATAAATATTTATACTTTGCTTCGCGTTGTCCTAAAAAACTCCTGAATCTCACCTATATTCTAAGTCTCTCAAGATTACCTAATTTCTGAAACATTCACATTTATGATTTCGAGAAACGATATTTTCACCATCTCCCCAATTTTGAAATGAAATGAAATTTTATAAGCATACACTCGAACAATTTGTTGAGTTACTCTCGTTGTCGTTGGCCCAAGACGAAAAAATTCGCATCTGACTTCGGTTACGGACGATGGTCGCGCGCATCTCACTTTCTCCGGCAGAATGTAGGTTTTTAATATTTATGTACGATCGCGCGCGTCGCTCGCGAAACGCGAACAGGTGTTCTTCCGTGCGCACAACTAGTCTTCAATATCGAGATGCCGTTTTCCTCTCGTTTTTATTACCGGTCTCTCAGTTAGCCGCTGACTTATTCCGGCGTACGTACACCTGCCGCCTTCGCGACGCGCAAATAACATAGCTTTGTGTGCGTGCCCGAAACCTTCCTCCTCCCCCTCCTCTCTCCCCCTCGCGCGCGCGCGCGCCGTATCTTGCGCACGCGAATTTCAGCCCCGAGCTGAAATTTCATCGATTTCGCAGTAACATTGCGAATGGGATGATCCGGTTGCACTTGATTCGTTCTCGTTTCGTTCTCGTTTCGCTCTTCTTTCCACGTCTCGTCCGATACGATCGTTGGCAAAGAATGACGAAGATCACGAATGTAGGAGGAGGAGGAGGAGCTGTTCCGATCGACGTCGTCGTCGTCGTCGTCGTCGTTGTCGTCACAAAAAACCGACAACGACTCGAATTAACTTTCGCACTAAATTTGAAACCGGTCGTTTTTTCGCGTATTAGCGGCGATTGGGAACGCGACGGTGCAGCGCGGCCGTTTTCACCGATGTAAAATCCACGCGAAATCGCCATCGGTTGCGCTGGACGAACCGACTCTGTATCAGATTGCGGCAAAGCGGAAGCACTTTTGTCCGTTTCGAGCGCCGGCGTATATTACGGCGTTTTATTCGAAGGATTATCGCGAGGATGCCTCGTGCATTCTGTTATTCTCGATCGGGATAATGAGCTCTTTGATTGACGCGCCGCGTCTTTTGCGCATCACCACGCGCTCGAAACAGCGACGCGTTTAATAATGTCGAACGTTGGCCGCGGTGAGAGTACGACGGCGACGATGACGACGACGACGTATCCTATTACATTAAATCGCGGAAAATTAAACATCACTCTCATCGTTAATAATCGCAACGGCGCGACGATAATTACATTGACATTTTATATCCCCGGCGATAACAACTTTCTACTCGAGCGGAGCGCTCTCGTCAAAATGAATCCGCGCAAAACGATCTCGGCGCGGTGGGTGTGGGCGACAGGTAAACGTTCGAGATATGGAAATCGGCTCCTCCCTATTCGAAAGCGTTCGACGCTATACTTAAAAGAAATAAAAAAAAAAACGCTATTCTACTTTCGCGTCTATGCCCGTGAGAATGCGGGCGCGCGTGTGCGATTGTGTGTGTGTGTGTGTGTGTGTGTGTATGTGTATGGCGAATGATTCTTGCGAATCTTTACAATTTAATAATATTCAAAACGCGCGAGGATCACGCGATGGCCTTCAGACATGTCGAGTCGCTTCGGCGAATGCACGACGAAAGTTTTGAGTCGAGAATCTTTGGTCGAATCTTAGACATTAGAAAGGCCAATGAGAACTTAGATGCAGGTTAGTGTTGTGTCGGTGAGATGCAAATTAAATTATCCGCAAAATTGGGGGTAAATTAATATGTTTTTATTAATATATTTTTAATTAATAATTTAATTTTTATAATAATTTTTCCTCAGCCTTAACTTAGTTAAAAATATATATTAATATTTATTAAAATATGTTAATATAAAAATTAATAGTTTTTATATTAATATATTTTAATAAGTATTAATATATTTTTTAACTAAGTTAAAATTTTGAGGTTAACAGTTAAGCTTACAAAATTCACTTAGTCGAATTAAAAGTCAGATAAACGAAAACTAACGGGTTTCTCTTGAGGCGGAGATCCTAACGCTCAATGTTAGGTATTTCTCGAAAGCGGCTAACGCTAATAATGAGTGAGCGTGCTGCTCGTCGCACGACTCCCGCTGAGACACGCAACGGCCAGGGACCAGTGATCAGTGCTTCACGGTTTTTTTTAGAACCGATTGTATTCCTTGAGAAATCTGCGTTTTCTTTTTTTTACAAGAGATTCGATACGACGGTTTTCGATTAGCTTTTATCCACAAATCCGTGGAAGATTTTATTTTTTTGATTGGCTTAAGATCAATATTGTGGACGCAATGGAACGATTGTAAATTGGAATGATTTGAAAATTTGATACTTGAAATCATTTGATTTCTTATGATTATCGTTTGATTTGATAAGTTGATCAGTTGAAGTGCAAAAAATAACCGATTCTTTCAAAAGTATTTGGAAAAATTGCGAATGATTACACTGTCCAACTCTATTTTACGAGTATAAGTAATTTCCAACATATTTTTACTGCACATGAATTCGTAGTCGAAATTTAGCTATCACGTCATAACTTTCAGAAAAATGGGCAAAAACGACTGCATTGAGGGATTTCACGACTCCCCTTGCAGAGTTCTGCAGACATTTTTTTTCTAAATTTCACTAATCACCAAGTGAAAACATGAACTTCAAGCTTTAAAATATCTTTTCTTTCATTTTAATACAATTTATCGTTATGGAGACACATTTATTAAAAAATAACTCCTTTCAGGTGTAATAAGTAAAGAGGGCGTTTAATTCTATCTTAATACTACATTGTTGCGGGAAGTAAGTGCTTTTTGTATTTACACGATATATTCGAAAATACTGAACGAAAGAGAAACAGTTTCAGTAAATTCACATACGCGTTTGTCTGCCTATTATGGACAAAAGCGTAGTCCATAACACATCACAGGCAAACGCGCGCACGCGAAATTACTGAAGTTATTGCTCTCTTATTTAGTATTACTCAATTGCATTGTGATAAAATTTGCCGCACGATATTGCCGGTCGTGTCGGATATCCGGCTACTTGGAGACAGGAGCTATTCGGTTCATAGCTGACAGCACTACCAAGGGGAGCGACGGTAAACGGGGAGTTGCAATTTAGCGAAACGTCGTCGTCGGGCGGGCGCGACCGGTGCTCTTCGTTCCGCGGGAATAAAGAGGAATCCACGTCCGCCCTGGTCGGACTAAATTTACGACGGGCTGCTCCTGCGGCCTGCGATCCACACTTTCCGCCGGCAGCTGTGCACTCTCGTGAGGATGACGTCGCCAGACGACGAGCGTCCTCGAGAAGATGTTAGGGCCGCGCTCATGGTTGTCGTCGTTATCCCGCTTTTAAGTCTGCTACGAGCGACCGCGGCTATTTACTCCGCGTCTTTTGACTTAGCACGGGATTTTGCATGGGGAGCTCTTAATTCATGGAGAGATAGAGGGAGAGAGGTACGAAGAGAGAAAGAGAGAGAGGAATACATACAGATACGGAGATGTTTATTGGCACTCTGGACATGTCTCCTCAAGCATTTGGAGCAGCATACATTATAGAGAGTTGCCGTACAAAAAGAAAAGTGAAAGAAGGCAACAATAAAGAAAACGTAAAATAAGAAGAAAAGAACAAAATTCACGCAAAAAGAAAATTAGTATATACATATATATAAGAATAAATTAGTATATACATATATATAAGAATAAAAACAGAACATATTTTAAAAGATAAATAAAAATGAAAAGATAGAGAGACAGAGAATAGAGTTTATTAAACATCCTATGGTTTACATCTAGAGATTATAGTATTTTGTAATGTGTGTATATGTAGATACCTGAGTCCACACGCATTACTATGCACTCATTAATGTAATAATCAAAATTATTAAGATTGTATAATAATAAATAAGATTTTATAATAATAATAATAAATAGTAAATATTTCGTATAAACACAATTATTTCATGAAGATGAAGAAAATATTACTATAATAATAGATAATTATTTCATAGAGAGTAGTATATTTAATGGAAAAAAGAAAATGGAAAAAAGAAAAAATCAGAGACACATTCAAATCGCAAGAGAGAAAAAGT